ATGTACAATCACATTTTTCTCAACATTGATCACATGCAACATGGGTTTCTCATACAATGCCTACCACATTCAACTTATCACACAATGTGTCGGAGGTCGGACACCTCAGGACTCAACCCAACTCGTACAGTCCATCAGGATACATAACCTCACCTCCTATTTCTATCATATTACCATATTCATTCAAATAAACTTATTCTAAACGAAGGTAACTAGAGTAAAGTCTTCCTCTTACCTCAAAACGAAGGCTCGCCACGAAACGTTGATGGAATCTCCTCCCCACACGGATTTCATCCCTAAAGCACATAGAAATCTTGAGGAAACTTAGAGGGAACTTCAGAAAAATAAAGGAGAGGGACGAAAACTGAAACCCTAACCATAGAACTTACCTCCAAAGACTCCAAACGTATTTTCAACCTTCAATCAAGCTCTCAAACGTCCTTGGAGGGCTTTTAATCGGTAGGAATGGGTTTGGGTAGAGAGAATCGTGAAGGAGAGAGAGGAGAATCGTGAAAAATAACCCTCTCCTCGAACCCTAACCCTTCAAATACTTCTCTGGTCGCAACACTCTCACTGCAGCGAGGCACCGCTCGCTGCAACGACGCCCTCTGTCGCTACAGTGAAAAACTCAAACAAATCTGCACTCTGGTTTCTGTAGAATCTTGCTATAGCGAGACCTTTTCGCTACAGCGAAATTACACCCAGAAATGCACCCTAAACTGTCGCTACAGCGAGAAGGCGACAATCGCATGCCTTCCTCCCAGGGACCTCTCGCTACAGCGAGAATGCCCTGCACCAGGACTTAACCTATTTCTTTCAATCCAAATTCCAATCACACACACATATACATATATTTACATATATCTGTATTCACACACACATTCTCATCAAACTAAGGCACATCCATATCACCATCAAGTCAATCATCATACCACAACATAGTAAATATATATATATATATATATATATATATATATATATATATATATATTCAAACAATATTAAATTTTTGGGGCGTTACAAAATCACGATCTTATATCTCATTCAAACTCTATTAAAAGGAACCTTGGAGTAGCAATTAGACACACTATTTTTTTTATCTAATTTTTGACACATAACCCTTGATACTCTTTCATATCGTCTATCTTGCAAAAGACCTTTGGCACACTCTTAAGAGGACTTTGAGCTTCAAGCGACCGTACTTGAAGACTAGAAACTCATCTCATATCTAGTTTGCTTTTCTATGGCTTTGTTTATGATTGTTCTAACCTTTTTCTTTAGCATAAGTAACTAAGTTCATAGTTAGGGCTATGAGAATACTTGTTCATGAATTTATGGGGCTTTGATGATTAAATCTATTTTTTATTTTCGTTTGTAATTAGTGTTTATCCTATCATGCTTGATTGTGTGTTGTGAATTGGCCACTCATAATACAATCCTAATTAATTACATTGTCAGGCGACCGTATCTTAGTTAGTTAATTGATTCATATGATAAAACGAGATAAAGGATTAGGTGGACCAAACCAATCTTTCTCTTCCAATCATTATTAAATTAACAAGTTCATAGATATTTTATGCTTTCTTTGATTAATGTTTTGCATGACCATTAGGGATGTTAATTTAGAGAAAAGAATATTAATATTGCATGACCATTGAGTATTAATAGTAATTGTATGAATGATTGGTAATTATAAGAAAATCAAATTTAGAGTTAAATAGAAGAATAACATAAATAATTGAATAAGTAAATCCATATGTCATAAGTTCCTCTCTGATAAGTTTAACCAAGAAGTGTGTTATGTTTTTTAATTTACTTTTAATCCTTGTTTTTATTTAATTTCACCTCTATTAAGTTCAAACAATTAAGTTAATAAATTCTTAGTAGTTAGAAATAAATTCTTATGGGATGATATTTTAGGAACCTTTTTTAGAACCCTTTATTACTTCTCGATGAATACACTTGCCCACTGAACATCAACAAAGAGTGAAACATCGTGTTATTTTCATCTCACGCCTATCTATTTCATTTAGAAAACATGTTGATTTCATACAACCTCTTATTATGCGCTTTAAGGTTGGGTTAGGAATAAGTTTTGGGCTTCTATATATCCGTCATGTAATTTCATCAAAACTTCTTGTATACTTTGCACAACTCGTTTATCTTGTAAACATCATTGACATAACCACACCAACTAATGTTCTAACTAGAGTAAAGAGCAATGACATGATGACATGGATATCTATCAGTCTAGATGTCACCACAATCACAGTACCTTTGTCTTAGCAGAACTCTATATTCTTCATTATTAGATACATTTTGAACAAGAGAAGTTCCATTTTGTCTATCAAATATGGTAACACAAATATTTCTGAATGCTTGCTCATTTGATTGAAGTTGAATTGTCACAGCTTCAGAGAAAATATGTTTAACCTTTTTTTTACGCATATGCCTCACTACCTTTATGTGCAAATAACTTAGCCAATTGAAAGTAAGTTACTTTAACTAGTGCTATTATTGGAAGATTGTGAGTGCTCTTTAACACTGGATTAATGCACTTAATAAGATTTGTGATCATGTGACCCCATCAATGCCCACCGTCATATGTAAGAACCCACTTCTCTCATGGAATTTCATCAAGTCAGTTTGTATTTACCTCTCTACGTTGTCACATATGCTTATAATAAATATTAAATTTTGATCTTGTTCTTGAATAACCTGCACAACACAAACTCATTCATATAAGCATGACCACAATATATAAAATATATTGATGCTAATATAGATTTAAAGCAGAAAAATAATGTCAATTACCTATGCAGATGACAAGTTTATGCAAGTAAGATGTCTTAAATCTTCACAAGAAATTGACAGTAATATGCCTGATACAATACATGTGAACTACCTTTGGAGGTTATCATTATCCATTGCTTCATTTTATTGATGCATTAATTAACTCGTGTCGATCAGAAATAATACCAACACCATCTTGCATCACGACATTTTTGTGTAAATTCTCAAGGAAAAAATGTCAACCATCCGCAGTTTCTCCCTTAACAATAGCAAAGCCACTTAACAATATATTCTGATTGTCGTCTTGTGCAATTGCTACTAATAAAGTTCTCTTGTATTTCTCATATAAATGTGTCCTATTAACCTGCATAAATGGTTTGTGTGCTCTAATGTTGGGAGCAAAATTCTAAAAAACACAACGTAATATTTGAACAGTAGGAACCAACTCATCATTGCGATAAGATTCAATAGCATCCAACTGAACAATTAATTCACGAATACATTGCTACACACCATTGTGGCAGAGCTTCATATGAAGCTTCTCAATCACCACACACTTTTTCAATTATCTTTTATTTTGTCATCCATGCTTTTTGATATGTTGTTGTGTATTTAAATCGAGCTTAAACTTTACTATTCACAAGTTTTATTTTAAAAGAAGGTCAGATTCTACCATTGGCTTAATACATTCTACAATTGTGTTTGCATCTAACTTTTTATGATCTTGCAAAATTCTAGTCCTCATTCAAGTGTGACCCATTATACTTCCTGATTTCTCAAAATATTTGTTCTTCCTCAAACTAGCCTAAACAAGTTACCCATAATTTATGTCATAACTAAAACATTTACAGTAAAATGTATTTGGTTCATACTTAAACACTTTATAGTTCATTCATTTTGATATACTTTACTGCTTAATTGTTTGTATAACAATTTCTCTATTATTAAATTACATTCCAACATACAATTCTCCTACTACCTCATAATTACTTATCAAACACAAATAATAAAAAAAAATAATTCAAAAAACTAAACATAAAATGGCAAGGGTACAATTAAAATATTTTGAATGTCACATACCTAAGATATCATATTCTGAAAATTCAGGTGATTTTTAAACTTATTTTTTAATATATTTTTTAAACTTGTTAATGACAATTTTTATATTCATGAATTTTTTTTTTTTTATAACTTGCCACTAGCAACTTTTTATATAAATTTATCTTTTCTAACTTCAAAAATCTCCATCAGAGATATTTTAAATTTTTTACATTTAGTTAATTCTCTCAAAAAGTCCATATTATGATAATTTAGTAAAAAATTCCCATATTAAAGGTATGTTTGTTGGCATTTTTTTTAAAAAAAAATTCTTTTTAAAAACTAAAATAATGTAATTTTAGTTTTTAAAAAGAGAAACTCTTTTTAAAAATACAAACAAACATACTCTAAATAAAATGATCCTCCATATGCTTGTATTCAGAAGACAAATTTTTTTGAAATAAAATGTTCAAAATAATAATAATAATATATATTTTAAACATAAAAGTATTTTTTTATTTTTTATTATTTTTAAATAAAAATTAATTAAAATTTATATCATAAAATTATTTTTTTTAAAAGTTTAAACACACATGCAAATATTTTTCAACAATATTTCCATGGCTTACGACATTAGTTTTGTGATTACCTACACAATTATTACAGAACAAATGAATGGCATAATAATTTACAAGGGATCCGATATATATATTCAAGAAAAAACCCGTCTAAATATAGCACCTAAGAAAACTACTTTAAAAACTGTATCTTTAAGAGGGAATATTTATATGACAATGCTAGTTATCAACATGATGTCGGGATATTTTTGGAAAGTCAGAATTTAGAAGAAAAAGAGTGAATTTGCAGCAATCAACTTGCACTTAATTATATCATTATTTGAGAAAAATAAAAATATACTAGCTGCCATTTTTGAAATTATTAAAGAGTCGATATGATTCTAAAAAAGAATAAACAATAACATAGCAGAGTAGGCGTGTGAGAAAAGAAATCTAATAATTTATTAATTTAAGTTGCTAGATTCCAGTGACCCCTATAACGAGATTTTTATCCCCTTCCTTACATGCAAAAACCTAAAATTCTGTCATACCCGAAAATTTGGTCTAGAACCAATTGAAGCGACGGCACTACGTGGGTAGCCCAAACCATTGCAACGTGTATAAAAGAGGCTTAGACACCATTACAACCGAAAGTAGCCAAAACTATAGCCATCAAACAGAACACCAAGGCTACGACTTAAAGCAACAGCAATCTTGGGGCCAAAAGTCACACATATTACTACACGCATCTAAACACTTACCCCCCTTTCGTTTATAATTTTCATTGTTCAAGCTCACAAGCAAAGGTTAAAGTAGATTCTCAAGCAAAACAATAAAGCAAAGACGAGAGCATAATAAAGCCCCCTCAGCTACTATTTCATCTTTGAACGATCACATAATCTTCTTTCAACTCCTCAAAGATTGGAGCTGGAACTGGAGCAGGAACATGGGTACTCTAACTACTGTTCCTGTGCTCCCTTCTAAGCTTAAGCCTTCTCTTTCTCCGCATCAAAATTCTCTCTTTCCCTACCGAAGACGGGTTGGGAAGAAAAACCAAGCAATTGTGCCCGTATGTGTTTCTTTTTTTAATATATCAATTTTAAATAAAAATTTTGAAGGGGGATGATACTTTTTGAGTTTTGAATCAATGACAGTTAATGTTATTGTTGACTTTGTGTCGTGGGTTTGGTTGGATCAGGTTGCTAGGTTGTTCGGGCCAGCTATATTCGAAGCTTCAAAGCTGAAGGTTCTGTTCTTAGGAGTGGACGAAAATAAACACCCAGGAAATCTTCCAAGGACTTATACGTTAACCCACAGTGATATTACCGCTAAGCTCACTTTGGCAATCTCTCAAACCATAAATAACTCGCAGGTATTTCTCATCTTAAATAACTTATTTGATTCTCACAATCTTTTTTTTAAGTTTAAGAGAGGATGCCACTAATGGATTGTTAGGCAAGTCGCATAACAGAGGAAATGAGGGTATCTTACATGCTTGTCGTGAGGGTGTGGGATAACAAGAGATGGTAGCATGTGAATCTCACTGATTACAACATCAAAATATTAAATGCATGGTTGTTTAGATTTGTTCTGAAGAAATAACGATATGCATTTTTTTTCTTCAACATTTAATAAAAATTGAATCTTTTGAAGTCCTATATATAGGCATGTTGGAATTATAATAATGCTTTTCACTAAAATTAAATCGTGCTTTTGCGACTATGATCAAGACACTGTCTTTAGTAGGGAAGTGGTCACAATTAATTTTAGGAATGGGCTTAAGGCAACTTTTTTCCCTTTTTATCTCTACATGATTTGGGACCCAAAATCATATTAAGATAGAATTCAACCATGATTTGGCCCACCATGTTATTATATGTGCGATTTGGTTAATCTGAACCTTAAAAAATTTAGTTAACAAACAAACATGAAGTAATAAGCATGGGAAATGAATTGCAGTTGCAGGGGTGGTACAACAGATTGCAAAGGGATGAAGTGGTGGCACAGTGGAAGAAGGTGAAGGGAAAGATGTCTCTGCACGTTCACTGCCACATTAGTGGAGGTCACTTTCTATTAGATGTATTAGCTAAACTAAGATACTTCATCTTCTGTAAAGAGCTACCAGTGGTGAGCAAGTTTTGCTATGCAAAAATGGATAATTTATCTGACTGGTCAATCCATGAAATGAAAATTAAAAGTTGTTTATTGAATTACGTGTCTTAGGTGTTAAAGGCCTTCGTTCACGGAGACGGCAACCTTTTCAACAACTACCCCGAACTACAAGATGCATTAGTTTGGGTTTACTTTCACTCAAACATTCGAGAATTCAACAAGGTTGAATGTTGGGGTCCACTGAAGGAAGCATCAGCACCCTCTTATGGGTCCCACGAAGAGGAGGGAAAGGAAGAAAGTTCTGCAAGTAACGAGGGGTTGCCAATGCCACAGCCATGCCAAGAAGATTGTCAATGTTGCTTTCCCCCTCTCACGTTGAACTCAATCCCGTGGTCTCAAGAAGTTCCCAGCCACCATTACAAACCTTATGATGGGATTGGGACCCAAAACAATTTGTAAACATCCAAACACACCTTATAAATCACGTCACAATTAAGGGGATACTGCCCAATTCATATGCCCTTATACGTCAATTAGGAAAAAATTAAAATTAAAATGAAAAATGAAAAATGAAAAATTCAAACCCCCTTCCCCCATTGTAAATAGCAAACTCATTTCCAATTTTTTCTGATTTTTCTTTACTATAAATTAAATTGTTTCGTGTGTAATATCTGTGTGCATGGTAAGCGTTTTATCTAAATATTAAACCGACTTTTTTAAGGAGTAAAAGTGTAATTATCAGTCTATCAAGAAGATTTCGTAGTTATATTGTTGTTTTCTCAGTGTCGTAGTTTACACAAGTTTTTGAGATTATCTTGCAAGAAAAACTTGTTTGAAAGGAGATGAAATAATTTGACACGTTGATAGTTTGAAATATTGAAATATAAGTTTGAATTAAGAAGGAATTTTGTGTGTGGGGTTGATGATAAGGATAGGAAAAAAACAAAAATCTACAATAATATTATTTTTCATTTTTTAAATATTTTTACCTGTTAAAATAAAAATTATATTCCGTTCCAGTAGTATGCGTTTGTGATTGTTTTAGAAAGAAAAATTATTAAAACTGTATTATATATAAATGGTTAAAGTTAAAAATATATTTCAAAATCTTATATAATGTTTGTAATTTAATATCGAGTATGGATTATTAAATGGTATATATACAATTTTTATCAGCTTATCTAAAGAAAAAAATTAAACGCATTATTAAATGGTATAAAAATTTATTATTTTTATATAATACATTATATATTTGGCTAGATTCTATGAGTTGCTCTATAATTTGTCCTACCCAAAGTTATGTTTTATAAGTGTGACTTATAAAGAGAAAGATTTAACATATCACTATTCATAGAATTCAGATATTGACAACTTTCATATAAAAGTGAGTCTTTAAAAAGTAAGTTTAAAATTCTATTATAATTATTATTGATATTTTTAATTATTTTTATTGTTCTAATTTCATACAAAGATAAGTCTTTCATATAATCTTGTTTAAAATTTACAGTATTTTTTTCAACTAAAAAAGTTCATTAAAATCTTAATCTAATACACTTCTTAAGAATTTAAGAAAACAAAAATATAACTGACTTTTATTTTTTAGAGATTTTTTGTGAATGCTTATATAAAATTTTAGTCAAGATAAAAATTTTATTATTTATTTATATAATTTTATATTTAATATTTTTTACTCACTTCAAAATTCTTTTATAGGTCATAATTATTTTATTTTTTTGAATATATAAATTTTTATTTTAAATTTTTGAGTAATTTTATCTTTTAATTTATAATTCTAAGTTTTCATAATTTTTCTATGCAAAATAAAAAGTTGAAAAATTTAATATAAATATTTATGTTACTCAAATAAAAGAATACATATTTAAATATATAAAAATCTATCTAATTAAATTTATTTTATAAGATTAATATAAAAATATATTTACCAATAAAGTAAAACAAAAATTATTTTTTTATATTTTTAATAGAAAATTTTATTTACTATTTTATATCGTTTAACTAGACTAATACAATTTAATTATTACATAATTGATATGAGATTGCTTTTTTTAAAAAAAAATTATTTATATATAACACATACAAAATGTTTAAAAATTTAGTAATTAAAATTATGTGATATTATATTGACTTGGGTTAAATAAATTTTTTTATTTAAGTTCTTGTTATAGGTAATAACAAATGGTTAGGAGTGATGTTGTTTTCTATCTATGTTTAAATTTTGTTCGATAAAATTATATAAACAATTTTTTTATAAGTACTTTTTTTCTTAAACAACCGCAGGTAATAGGAGTGGATATAGGTATGTGGTTACCTAAAGGGTACGAGTATGGGTTAGGTACGAATATTTTTGTAAAACACGGATGTAGAAATGAGTACTATAGTATTCATACCCTACCCATTGTCATCTCTAGTTTAATCAGAGTCGATCTTATCAATAATAAGTTAATAATATTTTTTTAAATATATATATAATAAATTAGACAATAAATTTATAAAAATAAAATAAAATAATTTAAAATTAAATTAAACAATATTTTTTTTGCTAATAAATGAGGCTAAAAAGTCTAAAGACAGACAAAAAACTAACAGCCACCCCTAAAGATACAAGGTACAGATACCAGGTACCCAATGTATCAAGAGTTAAAAGAGGAAGTAAAGTAGAAGGAGTCTTATCAAAACACCAAAACGTCATCCACAATTTGTCCCAAACTTGGCAAGTCAATCTGCACATTGATTAGTTTCTCTAAGAACATAAATAAATCTAATAAATCGAATCCTCAATAATAGATTCCTAATCTCACTAAATAGAGAACAAATGATGATTATAGTTATGACTTTGACAATTAGGGTGATAACCTCTTTAGAGTCGCATTTGATAAGCTGAAACCTTTTCATAATCACTAACTTCAGTCCCCAATAGACTCCTCACAACTCGGCAGCTAAGGGAGAACAAGTATCCAAAGCACTGCAGAACTCAGCTACAACTCTTCCCTTCATGTCTCAAATGAGCCCCCCATAGCTAGTAGTGTGGCTCCATCCACATTAAGTTTAAATTACTGCTTAAGAGGAGACTGCCATTTGATTCTGTTCTCAGCACTCAGAGCAATAGCATTGACACCTTTGTTTGTCCTGTCACAAGAAAGGAAAAAATCAAAATCATATAAGGTTTTCTGTAAAACACATTCAGAATTTACAACAGAATTCTGGAAAAGAAATTGTTTCTATTCTTCTCTAAATTCAAGATAGTCATTTCAAACAAAATATTCCAATAAGGAACCTTTCTAACATTATGAGTGGACATATTAGACCAGCCAATTAAAAAAACTTGTACCAAAAAAATGGGACCAAATATTAGGATGAACAAGTTTCTCCCAAACTTCTTTCGTAACCTAACAATCCCTGAGGACATGTATGAATGATTCAACATCCTCCCTACACTTAGGACAGTTAGGGATGTTTGCCATTCTCCACCTCTCAGTATTAGTGAGTAGCCTCCCATAGGCCACTTTCCAAAGAAAAGTTGAAATTTTAGGGAAACCCTCCAATTCTAGACCAAATTAAAAATATTAGGGTGCCTAAAGTCCTCCCCTACCCCACTTGGGACAATCATCAGCTTATAGGTTGATTTGATAGAGAAAATGTCATTATCAAAGGCTTTCTAAAAAAAAATGTCTTGACACCTACTTCCACATGGAGGAAAATTTTAGAAATAAAATCACAAAGATAGGCAAGGAGCATCACCCTAATTTTAGACCTATTCCAATTATCTTGAGAGGTAAACATGGCAGCAGGGACATTTAAATCATGATTAAAAATAGGTTGAAGAGCATAACTAAAGAGATTTTGGTAGTTTTAGACCCAACAAAAACTTAATAGTCAAATCATCACTCAGAATCCAATCTAAGCCTTTATTGCAAGGGTTTCACACAGCCAGCAGACTTTTCCATAAATGAGACTAATTGTTATTAATTCATTAAATAATATTTTAAGTTAATATAGAAAATTATATTGTATATTTTATTAGATAAAATTTTATAATAAATGATTAAATTAAAATTTATAAGCACATCTCATATATGAGCCTATTTATTTTAAAAATTAAAATAAGTCAAAAAATTATAATTTTTTTTAAGAGAGATCAGTTCAAACTGATTTTTTGATATTGATTTATAGCTGATCAGTTCTTAATCAATTCTATTAAGTGTTTGAATTTGATAACGTAACTGATTTATAATCTAATGACCTGATTTTTAAAATCATGTATAAAAATTACGTTTGTTTATAACTTTTTAAAGAATTGTCTCAATAAGTTATGAAAAATTATCAAAATAAATTCAATTCAACCGATACATCTTTAAAATATTTTAAAATTTTTTTATTGTATATATTGCAGTAATATTTATAAATTTGTTGTTATATATTTGAAAAATTTAATGAAAATTTAAATAAACTATTTGTTTAAACGTTAGATGTGTCGTAAGTTAGATTATCTAACGAAATCTATCAGTTAAATGTTTTACGCTAAATAAAAAATATATAAATTCCCATGCCTTTCTTTTTGTTTTATGATTGTTATTTAGATTCATGTTGATTCAAGTGCTTCTTCTCTTCTTGGTGAGCATTTTTCTATTTGGGTCACATGCAAAATTAAAAGATGAAGGCAAATTAACGAGAACAAAGGTAGCTAAAGCATTTGCATCAACTGAATAAGAGAAGAAAAAATAGAAGGGATATAAATAATAAGAAAATAAAGTAGAAATAATATATTATATAAATGAATAGAAATAGAAAAAAAGAAAGTGAATAAAAATAAATTTTTATTTATTTGGATGAAAAAAATGAAAATAAATAAATAAATATCATAAAAATTCTTTTATAATAACTAAAAAATAAATGTAACTTAAAAAATCTAAAATTTTTATTATATACTATTTTTTATCTTGATATAATTTTTAATTTTTAGATAAAATAATTTTTAAAAATTTTTCTAAACAGTTAAATAAAAAATATGAAAAAAACATCTCTTAGCTATATTTCATGCCTCAGTGCACGGATACATTTTAACGGTGAGACTCGTTAAAACAAAGATATTTTATTTCATATTTCACTATAATCAAAGATAAATGTCAAAATAATATAATTTTAACCCTTATTATTTTATAGAAAACATAGTATTAGATTTATTTTTGTTAGATATGATAAAATAAAAAAATAACATGATAGTTAAATTAAAATATAATAGAATAAAATAAGATATTTTATAATATATATTAAAATAGTAAGTTAAATGTATTATATTAGTATATTACTATATTTTATCTATCCTTAATTTAATTAATTTCATAAAATAAGTCTATAAAATAAAATTATTCTATCATTTATGTTTAAACAAATGTCATACAAAATAAGATAAAAAAAAATTATATTATTTTCTGTTATCTGATTAGAACACTCCAACAGTGACGTTGACGAAGATGCCTACAATTGTAGCAACCACCTCATGGAGACGAACTAAGAGAGCCACAAAGTGATAAGTCTCACCGCCTGCACAGAGTCAGATTCACACAGTGTAAATGGTTCTTGCTGGTCAACACTATCATTGCAATATTTTTCTTAATATGCATATATTTTATATTCATAGTTTTTTTCAGAGTAAACCAAAGATACTCTTTAGTTGAGAATCAAATGTTAATTTCCTTAAGATGTAATTTTAAATTAAGAAAGAAATTATAAAAACACAAATTTAAAACCAGAATAAAATTAATTAAAAAATCTATTATAAGAGAAATCATGCAATATAATAAGAATGTACTATAATTTTTTTTATTACAAAGCTAACAGACTGCTGTTTATCTTTATCTGATGCATCCATCGACTTGTTTATCTCTCTCTTTAAGTCACACAGTTATCTGTTGGCATAAGGCGGCTCGCATATTTTCTATTAATGGATAAGTCATAAGAGTGCTGGAAAACATTTTTCTTCACAATTAATTAAAATAACAATAATAAATTCCCTCTAATTTGGATCAAATTCTCATTTTCTTTTGTCTGCTTCACAGGCCTGATTCTCCTTGGGCCTAAATTCTCTGACAGTTAAAAAGTGTTGATTGATGTTTAAATGATTATAAATTTAAGTTTTATTTCAATACTAGTAGTTATAATTTATGAGTTATATTCGGGTTTATGAGTTTTTCAAGGTGAATCAAGACACTTTGTTAATCGCATTCTATTTGTTCTGCTACAGAACAAACTGCTTCTACATTTGCCCAAAATGTGAACATGTATGGTTATCCAAACCAACACACATGATAAAAGTTCAACAATTGATAGTCACTGGTAGTATTCGATCACATGCTGAGGCTAACATGCACAATGTTAGGAAAAGACACGTTCTTTCTTTAATTTTAGCAATTTAAGACCACTCAATAATGGTTCATAAAAGAAGGCTGAATGATGTCCACATATTGCCTGTGCCCACTCTTGAATGGAAGTTAAATAAAAACGTGTAAATTGAAAAAATAAAAGTTTATTTAGTATTAATCTAAAACTAGTTATGTTTATTTGATACTTTAATTTAAATCAATAATAAATAAATCCTGTTAAGTGAGGGACAGTTGGCAGTTAGTCGTAATAAATAATTTCCCCGCCAAAATTTAGTTTCACCCCTTCATTCCCAGAGTGTAATATCAGAAGAGTGGCTTCGAAATTTTCCACAGTGGAAGCCTGTGTCTCTTCACAGATTTTAAGTTTCCAGCTTTACAAACACTTAAATATATTTTAACTTGGGACGACTCAAATAAACTTAAAAAGTACAAGGATTGACTCAAAGCACATATGGCATCTCTTAAAATGGAGTGAAAAATTCACGTGTTATATAGAATTTATCTCTGAAAGATTCGCCTAACTTTTGAAGGACAAGAAGCTTACATTTATAATTAAGTACATCCCGCAAAAGAATAATATATACAAAAGCTGTTACGTTACAAGTAAAAGATGCTTCTCTGTAATTTAATCCAAATATAATAATGCAAGGCGCATTATTGAAAAGAACAAAAATAATAGAGGCCGAAAACCAAATTTGGCTACAGCTCCTCAATATGTACAGATAAATGTAAGATGCTCAATAAAATAACTCGTGATGGGCATGGATTTCCACCATTGGCAGCCATCCTGTAACTTCTTAGCTCCTGTAAGGCTTCCCAAATCGGTGAAGCAGAGCACGGTGATGATGTCTTTTTCATACAAACTTTCCAACTAGGCGTCTTTTACATGCCACGTGAGTTGTCTCGTAAAAATGCAAGCTGGGGTCATCTGATAATAGTTCTTCCAAAAGATGAAGCTCCAATTTCACTATCAGTATTCTGCATCAATAGTCATTTCACAACCATATATAAATCTTGAATATATAAACTACAAAACGAACCAGAGGATCATAGTCCCTTATACATATATTACATCTTTACATAACCTATTTCATGGCATCAGCATCAAACATTAGATTAAATTATTAATGAATGTGATTTCGTGTATCTACATTTTCATTTATCAGAATAGAAAGGACAGTTTGATGAGGACGACACTCAAATCTTCAAACCATGGTCAATCAAGCAAATAAGAGTAGCAGGGGCCAGTGGATAACACTTATTTTTCTTTTAACAAATAATTACCTGTGATTTACGGGAAGGGAATACATTCCAAAATCTAAGAGTTTCATCTCCAGCTCCAGTGACGATAGTCTGAAACAGTAAGAAAAAGTTCTCATGACCAGAAAATTAACATAATTAAGGCAATATAAAATCGTTTTCATAAGCAGCTACTCATATGGAAAGAGGAATAGGTGAAAGGACGATTAAAATACCTGCCCATCAGGAGAGAGAGCAAGATAAAGAACTCGATAAGTGTGGCCTGTAAGAGTTGCTAGCTGCACCAAAAGAACAAAATGAAAAAATGGTAGAACCTGTTAAATTTAACTTCAAAACTCTCTATGTCTATTTTAAGACAGCAAATATTATGCGTACCTTTGACATTGTGGGGTATCTCCAAACTATTATCTGGTTCTGGGAGTAGCCATGTGTGCTGACCATTTCATTGACATTTTTAGACCAAACAAGATTACAAACCTGTAATATATGTAAAGCGTTAGCATCATTTATTTGTTATTTAAAAAAGAAAAGAAGGGGAGTGGGTGGGGAAGAAACCCCTTTATCCCTTTCTTCATTTGTGAAGACAAATGCCAACGAATTTTGAAAACAGTAAATAAAAGGAAAAGAAACTTCAATAATCTCACAATTGAGGGTCTGAATTGTCACTTGAAAAACATTTAAATTTAGTTTTTTTCTAACATAATTTGATCAAGTGATAATGATCCTTGAATCCATGGAAAACTGGTGTTATTTTCTGGATACTAACTCTATTCAGTGATAAAGCAAATAAAATAAGTGTTTCCACTGCACCACTTGGATTGGATGAGAAGTTTCAGTTGCTATGACGTATGGAAGCAAAATGCATATTATTCAACAACCATGATTAATAGATTATCTACTCTCCTACTCTTCTCTGCCAAACAGTAATGCAAATTTACAGGGAAATGCCAATCATTATCGTCAAACAAGATGCACAGAGATCCCTCTGATAAAGAACGTTCCCAGTCTTGAATTTGAGGTCCAATGTTGCTGTATGAAGTTATTGATCCCTTACCCTTTTTAACTTTATATTATTTCTCTATTTGGAATTATTTTTTCAATTGTGATTTTTTTTCATCTCATTTTCCATTGAGTAGGGTTTGACTAGACTTAGCAGATTGCTGTACTTTCATGCTTTAAGTGAGTTACCAGATTACCGTTGAACAGGGGACATGAAATTTGTAACACTGAAAGAAAAATATTTTTCATAAGTCAATCCAATAACCAGACTTGTACTAGATCAAAAGAATTGAACCAAAATGAATACCTGACTTCCAGTGTCAATACAGTTTAACTGTGAGTTTGTGGTTGTATTCCAAAAACGAATACATCTGTCTGCAGTGCCTCCTCCTGATGCAAGAAGTCCATGAACATGAGGAGACCATGCAATAGCTTTAACAGCTGCTGTATGCTCACAGTACTTCAGGATGGGCTGGGTTGAGTGTTGATTCCAAACAAGCAACTGCAAACATACAAAATAAATTATTAGTTACCAATGCCAAGAAATAAAGAAGTAATGCTGCAGTGAGGCATTTTATGAGGATAATGAAGTTTGCAATGTCATACCCTGTTGTCATTTCCTCCGGATGCTAACTCCCGGTTATCATAAGACCACTTCAATCCACAAACCTTTAAGTAACCAAAAAGGGGACATAAATAAATATGCTAAATTCCATGTACAGTAGGTAGCAAGGCAGTTTGACCAGATAAGGCCGGAACACATAAAAACAAGTCAGACCTCTGACTTGTGCCCAGACAGTTTACTGACAAAATCCTCCTGTGCACGTATATCTCGTTGATAAATGATTTTATCCCGGCTACCAGAAGACAAAAGAGATGAACTCCAGGCCAAGGTTCCAACTCGTAAACGATGACCCTCCATGGTTCTTATTGTCTTGCATTGAGACGCATCCCAAATCTATATGGAAAATAGTTAAGAGGCATGGATAAAATCAAGCTGGTTTGCAACATTCTAAGCATTATTGTTCATATAAGGAAGATTAAAAAGAATTGAGCAAGCAAGTTCTAGGGATATGATGCATAAAAAACTCTTTACACCATAAAAGTAAAATATAGCATGACACCAATATTTTATGGGGAAGCCTATCAAAAGACCAAAATGTTTAAGGTAGCAGTAATGCACTGGCTACCAACCTGAATGGCCAATTGAACGTGTATAAGGATGGATCCGATGTAAGTTTTGGGCAAGCCAATAAAGTGTTTTCTATTAGTAAACTAAAAGTATAACACATGATGTGACTATGGACTATGTCGAAAGACAAGTATCAAGCCAATAAAGTGTTTCCTATTAGTAAACTAAAAGTATAACACATGATGTGACTATGGACTATGTCGAAAGACAAGTATCAAACAAATGGAGGTCACCAGAACTGGAGCCAAAGTTTCTTAGACTCTAATGAAAAAGTTATATTTCCTAGACCTCCAGAACCTCAACGATACAAAATTATTTAAGGTGACAGGGTATTGAATTAAAAAACTAACAGTACAATGTAATGTTTCCGAGAAAAAACCAGAGTCATGGAAAAAAGATTTGATTGTCCCATTTATTAAATGGACATGAATCTCCTATTACACCCAGACTCCCATTTGTACTTGAATTGCTCTCCTTATATCAGCATGACTTTAGGAGCAAGTGACCTGCTCTTTCCAACCAATGGTGTCAACAAAAGGAGCATGGGTCCTCCTATATTGGCCAAGTGCAAGACATGGAACTCGTTTATAATCCCTTCTTACCAGCCTAGCTTTAGGAGTGTGTTCTCCCCTACATTATTTTATGTTAACTGCATTAATTGTATTCAACAATTGATTTATTCAAAGCATTTTATGGCATGAATAGCAGCATCTAATATTTGCACAACTACATAAAAAGCCAACTAGAAATATCAATTGCATGATATATATTGGAAAGAAATCCCAATGTCAATAAGTAGTATTAAGTGCATGATATGTTCCCATAAGTGTCATGATAAATTGATAATTAAGTGCTCAACACAAGTAAAGTATGCAATACAGGTTGAACATAGATAGAGCTTCACTCTTTTAAGTGTCCATGCTTAAGGAAACAAATGGAACGAGACGTTTCTCATGAATGCTTTTTTGCACACCAAAATAGCTCACTGATGAGTCTTTGTTGACCCACAGGATATTTACCTACTAATTGGCCACCTTCATAGCTATCCTTCTATCTGCTTTATTGAGTTCATATTAATTCCTTGATAAATTTTCCATAACAAAATAAAATATAGAATTTCATGGTTTATGTTTAATGATACTCCCTACTCTCTCTGCATTTTTTCTTTCTCCACCATTGCTGATGGTGTGTTGACCAATATACATTAGTATCAGGATAACCAACTGCATCTACAATGCTTAATGGTTATGGTGTTTGTCTTAGACACATGCTGCATCAATTGTTATTGTCATCCCTACGCAGAGACCTTCCTTATGGGCAAAAAATACACGTCTTTGCTTCTTTGAGCATTAAAATGCATTGCAAAATCTTGAAAACTCATTGCAAAGGATATAAGTAGCCTAGCCAAAAAAAGAAAAGATACCAGAAAACCCTCCTTAAAAGATAGAGTGCAGTCAAATTGCAAAGAAAACCCAAAAAGAATAAAATCAGTCCTATGGAAACCCTGGGATATCCAACAATAACTGAAAACTAGTAACTGAATTTGCAATAGCATGAGATTGGATTGGCGCATAAACTCTTACCTGCACTTTACCACTGTTAGTTCCAACAGCCAGGTAGGTACCACGTTGAGCCCAGCTAACCGAGCAAACACAATCGTCCATCCCCAGCTCGCATAATTTAGTTACCTGCACGCATGTCATATATCAAAACCCAAAAGTTTTTTTTTTTCAATTTGCAGCTACATCACAAACATATAGGCAAATAAGCAATACCCCACAAATAATAATTACAAATTAACAATAAAATCAAGTAGAGCATCCCCGAATGATATCACCCACCACAGAGAAAGAGAATATTAAAAAAACAAAAATTTATGAACCTTGCTGCTACTAGCATTCCACAAATAAACAGAGTTTCCCAGAGCCACAGCCAAGACATTGTTGAAGGACCAGTCCACAAGATTCAGATAAAAATCATCTTGCAGTGCAGGTGCATCCAGAACCTAACACAGAACAGCACAACATTAAAATTAGACTAAATATCCAAAAGACCCAATACAAAACAAAATCTCCAGAAAATAAAAAAATGAAAACAAACCTTGAAAGGTGACAGAGGAACCCTGCGAGGAGGCTTGAGAGGAGTATGATGAGGGGCACAACCAGGTAACGGGTCATCATGGAACGTGAAAGGGGAGAGAGAGTGCATGGAGCGTCGAGTCTCCGTTTTGTAACGGAAAATATTAGGGGTCCGTTTATTGGGAGTAACGGGAGCATCGGGTCCAAACAAAGCAGTACGCAAAAGGGTGTTGTAAGCTTTGGAAGTGTCCTCTGAAGGCGATAAATTGATGAGAGCGAAATTGGAATCGGATCTGGTGGGTATGAACCTGTCCGAGCAGATTGTTCTAGAAGGCGACTTGTATCGATTCGAGTTGATGATGCGGTGGACATGGTCGATGTTGTGCTTCGAAGACGGAGTGGTTGAATCCTCCATTACCAATCCCCAACCCCTTTCGTACCCTTTGCCTTTCCAATGATAAAATTGAAAGCTCTCACAATTTTGCCGGGAAATCTTTGCGGGAAAATATGTCAACGATTGGGATGGGGCTTTAGTGGTGGACCCCTCCATGATTTACCATCTTTACTTTACTTTATTTCCTTTAATTAATGCGCCTATTACTATGTAAGGTTGTTACAGGGTAATATTAAATGTCTTTTTATGTTATGTGTTATATCATGATACGATTCAAAACTTGATATTTCGTGTGACCCTACTGATTATTTGTAAAACATGTCGGTAATTAAATTATTGGCATTTTTTTTAAAGAATATTTCATAAAAAATGAATTACTTACCAATTGAGCTTTTATGCTTAAATTACTTTTATATGGTTGTTTTTGGAAAAGAAGTGTTAAATGAGTTTGTAAACAAATAAATGTGATACTTGAGGGGGGAGGTTTGGTGAGATATTTATAGTTTTATTAGTTAATTAGTTAATAATCGGATGATTGACTTTAATTTTGAGTAATTTTTGTAAATTAAAAGAATATTTTATTTCTTCTCATACATATAATAATAATAATAATAATAATAATAAATTTTATATTAAATATATAAACATAAATAATAAAAATTAGTAATTTATTTAAAAAAATATAAATATTTTAAAAATTTAAAAATATTAAAAAAATTAAACTTAAATATGTTTTAACTATCTCTAAATATGGCTTATATCAAATTACTACTTATTAAAAAAAAATATTTTAATACTTAACTATTTTTTTTAACTTTATACCTGACGTTAAACTTCATTAATTAAATAGTAATATAGCTTACAGTTTGTCACATCATCCTTAACCTCTCTCTTCCACCTCACCCTTACATTTACACGTCACAAATTTATAGGTTGCGTTTTGGGGAATGGGAGAAAGAGGGCTAAATCAAAAACCCTATTTCAAGAAGAAGAAGAAGAACACTAAAGAGAAAAATACGCTGAAGATGAATACGAAGGGAAAAAGAAGAATCATAAAAGGAAGAAAAAGATTAGACTTCCTTTTTTATTGGTTGTCGTTGTCCATCTTGGTCTCCTTTTCTGTTCTTCGTCTTCACAAAATGAATAGTGTGGGTGGTTCCTCGTGCTCATCTTCTGCTCGAGTTATTGTAACTTGCAAATGTAAGAAGTCCGTTATAATTTTCATCTCACAAAGAAAGGAAAATCTTGTTAGAATGTTTTTGAGATGCTCTGGTTGGAATGTAAGTTCAACTTGTTATATTTAGGAATGGATTTGTGTTTCTGTGTTCATAAATTTGTTTGTATTTAGTTTGCAGGAACTTAATTATTGTAATTATTTTTATTGGGTTAAAAAACTTGTAAATGGGGACAATGAGTCTGTTATCTTAAGACAAATCCGCACAATTCAAGAATTGAAGGTAAAGATTAGTGATTTAATGGAGGTTGAAAAAGCAACTGAGGAAAAAATAACAAAAAGCAAAGAAGAGATGATGAGACTTCAGGAAGAATGTTATGATCTCCATCAACAACTTGCATTATTAAAGCTTAAAATATTCCTCAAGAAGAAGAAGAAGATTGTTGTTGAAAGGAATAGGGTGAAGATTTTAGGATGTTTAGTAATTGTGCTTTAGTTTTTCATTACCATTATGAGCATTGTAGTAGTAATGAATGCTGTTGGTAGGAAAGTTTTAAAGGATGATAACTTATAATTCAATATAATGAAAGTTGTTTTGAATATGGTTGAATGAATTCAATGACATAAGAATTGATGCTCGCTACATTGTTTACTCTATAATGATCTACATCAATAACTTGCATTATTCACTCTATTGAATTTAGTTGTATTCACTGTAAAAACTGATTATGATTTGACATAACAATTGATAACTGAATGTACATGTTTGATTAGTTATTAACTACCTCCATAATTTTAGGATTTCAGAATAGAACTTGTATTTTTAAATCGTTTAAGGTTTACTACCTCTATAAATAAATATTTTCATATTATTACCTTCAATATATAACTGAACGTAAATTACTGCTTAATATTTTATATTCTTGTTATGAGTAACAGATTAGAACTATGAGAAAATAAGACTCAAAAATACAAAATAATAGTCCAAAAGGTGCACATGCATGTTGCATATTATTTATATTTAATTGTCATCAAAAGGTACACCTTGTGGTCCATAAAAGATTCTCATTCACATGCTTCACAATTAAAATAAAGACATTGTTGCTGCACATTGTTTAAAATATTATGCAGTAATATTACTCCCAATACAAAATAACTATAAACATTATTCTGCCTCAGAAATGGTTCCTAAAAAACATTGTTCCCCTTTCAATTCACATCATTTGTCTGTCTCCCTTGTCTGCCCTTGCTGCTGCACTTGTCTCTAAACTTGGCCCTTGATTAGCTACTTTTTCTGCTACTGCAATGTCTTAATTCAAATATGCAACAACTGATTTTCCTTCTAGTTGAGCACTTGGTGACTTGTTTGCTTCTGTCTTGTGGTTGGTCCCTTCAGTGGTCTTCTTGGCACCATTTTTCCTGTAAAGGTAAATCATTAGCAATTTTACTAAAGTCATGAAATGATGAGTCTAATACATATACCTTTTTCTGGACTAGTAAAGATTGTTGTGCATCTGCTGCTTTAGGTGGATCAGGTGCTGAGCTTTCAACATTTGCCTCAGGTTGACCTTCAGCTGTTTTAGTGGTTATTGGTTATGGTGGTGCTGGTTGTGGACAAGGTCTTGTGTTATGGCTCTTTACATCACATCTTTTACACTTATATTTACCAATATCCCTTGTCAATCTTGTCAAATTAGGATTTATCTCATCAGGCTCCCTTCTTCTCAATTTTTTAGGTCTTCCAGGATCCCTTTTATTTTTGCGGGGTAGGATCTCATCAAATTCAATTTTAGGCCACATGTCCTGCCCATTGGTGGTTGAAATCTTGTGTGCATAACATATCACATAAATATCCTGAAAATAATAATTATCAACATAGTTCATGAAGTCCAATTTTTTGAATTGCAGGGCAGCCACAACATGTCTGCATGGAATGTCTACTAAATCCTAGAAATTACAACTAAAGTAGTTCATATAGAGGTCTATCATAAATTTCTTACCAAAATGTAAATGGCTCACTTCAAAGTCTCCATCGCTTCCCCAACTTGCTACTCAATTTCCTGACTTTTCAACCTCCTTATCTAGTCTTTTTAAAGGCTTAGGCATAATTTGTCCTCTGTATCGTTTAACTTTGTCCCTAAGGCTAGAAAATTTATTCATCAAATACATCCTTATCCACCAAACATTGTGATAATTGGTTTATCCCTAGCAATCGTAATTGTGCTGTTAAGTGCTTCACTAAGGTTATTCATTAATAAATCACATTTTAGGTAACATTAAAATTTATGCTTAAACCATACTTTTCTGTCTAGATTAAATAGCCACCAGTATGTAGCTTCATTCAAATATCTGATTTGCTGCATATGAACCATCCAAAATTTTAGTTAAGTAAATACAAAATTCTAAGGTAATAATATGAAAATGAGTTAAATTAAAGGTAGTAAAAACAAACAACTTTACTTTTTGTTGGTCACTCATAATGGCCCATTTGTTGGCCTCAATAGAACCAATATCTTCTAACAACAAATTCAAAAACCATCTTCAAGTCTCCTTTGACTTAGTCTCTACAACAACAAAAGCTAACGGAAGGTATGATCATTTAGGTCTCTCCCAACAACAATCAATAACTGACCTCCAAATTTTTTTTTAAGCGACATTCATTCACCCCTATCAATGGACAACAAGCCTTCTTAAAAGCTAATTTTGGACCTTTAAGGCATATGTAGAAACTCCCAAACCTTGACAAAATCTTCAAAGATGGCCTAAATACCATAATCACATGGTTGCACTTCTTTGTTTAAGTTCTGTTGCATATCTCCAAAGTAGTCCATACTGTTTGTCAATGTCACCATTAATCACACTTTTAGCACTCTATTTAGCCCTAAATGCTCTTGATAGTGTTATCCCAGTGGAATAGTTAAATTTAATTTCTCCAACGATATCCTTTAATGCAATGTCAGTATTTGTGGCCTTCATCTTGTTAATCAAAACCTTGGCAACCCAAGATGACTTCGCACTCTTATTATGGAACACCATTCCACATGTGTGTGTATCAATTAGAGTGTTCAACCTGTAAGTTTCTAAATTGCTGACTTTACTAACATACACACAGTATTTAACACAATGCTTACATCTTGCCCTTACCCTCCTTTTGTCATTCAAATCAAATCTAATTTCTTTTCCATTTAGCACATTTTACTCTTGAATTGCATCCTTAAACTCCTTAATGGAACCAAACTCCAAACCCAACCTCTATTTGAAATCCTTATTCAAATCATGACCATTAAATCTATAATATTTCCTTCTCAGACCATCTTCCTCAAAGTCACCACTCATCAGCTCTTTACTTGCATACCCATGATCAATATCATCTGCTTCTACTCTTTGTGATTCGCAAAACCTTGACTAGTCGGACCAAAAACACCAACATTCACTCTTTTCGTTTGCCTCTTCCTAACACCTTTATTTTTCTTTCTTTTTTATTCCCACTTGCAGGTTTCTCAATGGCATCAGCATTCTCACCCCAACTCCAGCCCCACCAGTAACACCAGCACCAACAATAGCCTTTTTTTCTAGTCGGAGCATCACTTTGAAGCACACTTGGTAAGTCACCTTTAGGGGTGGACATTTCAATAGATTCTTCTTCCCTAGAAATTCAAACAACCTCTACACGAACAGGTACCTTCTTAGGCTCATGAACACTGTGAGCAACATGTTCCTCCTCACCCTTAACATCTTCATTCACTTTCTTTGCAATTGTCTTCTTTCGACTGCATTTTACCCAAGTGCTTCAAAGTATGACCACCTGTCCATATCAATGTTGTTCATAGGAATTGTCTCTTTGCTCCCAACATAGTGCATCGTGGGGTCCAACTCAAAACGACCCCCTGTGATGAA